GACAAATTCCACCACTTCACTTCTTACATTTAAACCGGGAGAACTTGCAGCAGAACAGTCCTGGAGCATCATCTTACATTTCACAGGTGACAGCAAAACGCATGACGAACATATTCAGATTTCTGATCAACGCATTCAAAATACCATGCATTTTGTCAGCGTCCTCGCCTACCAGAACAGTATCGTCTGGATACTCCAAGTCAACCAGATGACCTGCTGGGTGTAACGTCAATCCCTGTGAAGTCAGATGTACCTAAAGTTACGTCCATTAGCATATCTATAACGAAACTAACTAGGAACAATCATAGTTGGCATCCATGGAGAACACCACCAGTTGTCATCAATTCACATGACAACTCTCCAGAAGCCCTTACATGCCTGCATGAGTTCGAGTAGAGAGCTTTGATAAACACCACATATATTCTCGGTACTCTCTGCATACTCAGACACTGCCACAACACATCACGGTCAACAGAGTCGAATGCCGCCTTCAGGCCAACAAATATGTTAAGTATCGCCCACTTGCCGGTAAGCATGCTTGTGTTTCAGAACCCGTCGGAGGGTGGAAATATGATCGATGCGCCCACGTACAGGTCTGAAACCTGACTAGTTTTCTCGAGCTCCAGTAAGGCATCGGAGAACTATGGACTCAATAGTGTTGAAAACGATGTCAGTCAAACTGATCCCCTTTACGGTTGTTATAAGAAGATTTCTCTCCCTTTCTTATAGACTAGGATGATCAGTGAAGTACGCCAGTCTGACAGCATTACCGCTGATTACCAGAAAGCACCTATTGATTTCGTCACTTTGAGCAACAATTTTCTACTTCCATCCTTGAAAACTTCAGGTGGCAAACTGTCAGGTCCTGCTGCTTTGTATAGTTTCAGGTTCGATACACCTTTCTCAACTTCAAGGAGAGTTGGAGGACCGACATCCACGTCCCATTTAGGTTCAGGATGGATGTTGGGTAAGTGAAACGTTGTTTGCAAATATAAATAAATTTTATTGAAATCAGTTTATTTAACTATTTATTTATTAATAGGTTGGTGAACAACTTTATAGAAGATAAATCTTAAGCATTTTACCAAACCAACATATTTTATTGGTATAAATAGTGTAGAAAAGAATGTAACGCCATGTATGCATAGTTAACGGACTTTTAACAGCGACAATTTTGAAATTCCTTGACTTGGAAAAACGTTTATTTAATAGGTTGAAATTCTTTGGATAAACACAAAAATTAAATCAAAATTACGCTTTACCCTGGTGGTTGAAAATTCTATGCAGAATATATTTTGAAATTTATGACAGCTAACCTATGAGGAATAATTTAAGTGATGGAACCATTAGTTCCACCTATCTGCTAAAAAAAACAGAAAATATAGAATGTGAGAAGATGAGTTCACAGGCAACACTCAATAAGTAACTTATTGTAAGTTGCTGTTCATCACCAGTTAGAGAAGCATTGAAAACTTGGGAGCACTGAATCGTTGTTTCATCTGTGAAACCTGAAGGTCCTGAGTTCAGTCCCTAGCGGGTTCATGAACTTGCACAACTGAGGAGTCTCACACGAGGACGAAACGCTTGCCTAGTGCTCTCAGGTCTCTTAGTGCTTCTCCAACTGATATCAGTCCGTGATGAATATCAAACTGGTAACAGTAAGTCTCAACAGATCTCTTAATCAAATAGACAGCGTGATAAACTCTATTTAAGCTTGTTTTATACTTGAAATCTACAGCTGCTTAGACACATTAAAGTAAGCGAACGCATACAGCTAGCTGTGAGGATATAGTCCTTCTTAAATAAATAATTGATAGACCCCTTATTTAGTTGTTAGGTTTGAAATCAGATGTTAAAGGATTATCATTAGAATTATTTAGTTTATTTCACTGATCAATCTTACGGAAGTTGAGCCTAGTCATTAGGATATTTTTTGAATGTATCAACACACGCACGTTGAGTAAAACAAGAAACTTAATTATATTAGAAATTAAAAAGTGAACATTTTCTAAGATATAAAAGCCTCTGCATGCAAATAAAACTCGATGCTTAACAGTATACTTCACCATATTATTAGTTTGTATTAAGAGCGGACAAAACTTGTCCATAATTCATTTACTTAATATGCGCTTAAACTGCAATGACCAACTCGTTTAATTACTTACAGTTAATGACTGTGTTGAGATATTCATAACTTTCCTATCTCTCAAACTCTTTGCTGTAACAAATTTATGCAATATGCTTGAAGATTTTCAAATAATCCACAAATGTTGATTCTATACTCTAAAAACATTCACATAGCTTTGGTTAGTCTGAAGTTGAGTCTTCTTATCAAGCTAGTCACCAATATAGTGTGCGCTGCTTACTAATAAGCTTTGTCTTTGAAAAAGTACTTGTTTAAAACTATTTTGCGTGCATTTGTAGATTCTCAGATTTAGTTAACTCAAGTTATACATAGTCCATTTATAAGGCAATTGCTTTTGGCGGCTAGATTTGCTCCTTGTTTCAAATTTCAGTGGCGAGATGTGATATTACGAGTGTCTGAAATATCCCAATGAATCATGAATAATCAAACTCAGCTGTTGAATATTTTCACATACACTGGGTAATTAGCCACACGCGTTGTTGGAAAGTAATGTGATACTACGCCTATGACAAAAACCAAGTAGGTGAAAGGAAATTCAAACACTTCATCAAGTGGCTAAGGTTATTGGCCTAAAAAAATGAGTCAAAACTCCTAAAAATGTGTATAGTTTGGAAATCAATTGGCGAACTATCAAATTTTGCAGTGCAATGGGAAACTTTGTTTACTCATCTTTTGCCGTAAGATTTCGATGAGCAGCGTGATATTGTATGTACGTAAGGCTACCTGCTTAAATCTTGGGCTACCAAAAAACCTTTCACCGATTATATTTCATCTTCCCCTTCAGTTTCTTTCAATCTTTTAAGTGTCTTCAGGATGCATCATATACTCTCACATGCTTTTGAAATGTTTTCATACTTCCATCTCTCAAGCTTAGAATAGCACAAAGAAAAAAACGTTCCACCAGTTCGAAATAGGTTTGTAAGTGCTCAAAAATACGCCACATTACCATTCCTAGGGTACCTGTGTGGGATTGTGAATTTCTGTGCTGACTGATTGAATTGTCACCATTGATATTACACTCGATTTTGAACTAATTTACAAATAGAGAACAGATGTTAATGTAACACTAGATGCCCGTTTCACACTTACTCTTATTATCCTAACACTACGCAGACGTAATAATAATAATAATAATTATTATTAGACCCTTGGGTTCCTAGTGGAACATAGGGCTTCTATAGCACGTCTCCAGTGACCTCTGTTCTCTGAGATCTTTTGAACCTGGTTCCACGACAGCCCACAAGCTCTCATTTCTTCCTCGCACGACCTCCTCTATGTCACCCTCACCTCGGACGTCCAACTCGTCGCTTCCCATGGGGATTCCACTCGAGCAACTGGCCTGACGCGTGATGTCCCCAGTCGGTCTTCTCAGTGCATGCCCAATCCATCTCCACTTCCTCCTGCATATTTGCTGTGTGATAGATTCTTGGTTGGTTCGTTCCCAGAGCTCCTTGTTGCTTATTCCCTCCACTCTGGCCATCTGATCTTCAAAAGCGAGCCAGCGTAAGCAGTCGTTGATGAATGTCTGTAGTTAATGGGAATACCTTTCGTGACTCGCCAAGTCTCTGAGCCATACAGAAGCACTTGCTTGACGTTGGTGTTGAAAATCCAGATGTTCTTCCACATGTTGAGTGCAGATCTCCACACTGGTTTCAGGCTAATCAACACCTGTCTTGCTCTTCCGATTCTGACTTTGACATCCTCGTCAGTGCCGCCTGTAGTTGAGACAGTGCTGCATGCCTAGACAGGTGAAGGAGGCCACTTCCTTTAAGTTTCTCCCGTTGATGGCGATTGCAGCTTGTTGTTGCTGATGCTGTTGTTGTTGGTTGGGTATCTTCATCACCTCTGTCTTCTCTATACTCATTCACTTGAAGTCGCGTCCTGGCTCCCTGGCTCTTCTGTCAACTTGTTAGTTTTTGCCTGTAGATCTTCGAGTTTATGTGACATTAGGCACAAGTCATCGGCGAAATCCAAGTCTTCTAGGTTCTTTTCCGCAGTCCAGTGTATCCCCCTCTTTTCGCTCATCACTGTTTGTTGCATGATCCAGTTAACTACAATCAGGAAGATCATCAGGGATAGTAGGCAACCTTGTTTCACTCCTGTCTTCACTTGAAAAGCATCACTGAGCTTCCCATTGTGAATTACTTGGCATGTGGCATCTTCATATAGTTGTTGAATGAGGTTGATAAAGGTTTGCGGTACTCCGTAGTATTGAAGCAGTTTCCAAATTACTTCTCGGTCGACGCTGTCAAAGGCCTTCTCAAAGTCGATGAAGTTGAGGTAGAGAGCTGATTGCCATTCTATGCTCTGTTCTATGATGATGCGAAGCGTTGCAATTTGGTCTGCACATGATTTGTACTTCCTGAAGCCTGCCTGTTCCGGTCGCAGTTTTGAATCCAGTGCATCTTTAAGCCTCTCCAGGATGATGCGGCTTAATATTTTGCTTGCATTGGGTGGACAGGAGAGTGATTCCACTCCAGTTCTTGCAAACACTGAGGTCTCCCTTCTTCGGGAGTTTGACAAGGTAACCCTTCTTCCAATCGTCAGGTACCTTCTCTTCCTTCCACACCTTCTGCAATAGTGGTGTGAGCATGTCTGCTGTTGTCTGTGCGTCTACTCTCAGTGCTTCTGGCGGGATCCTGTCTGATCCTGCTGCTTTTCCACATTTCAGTAGCTTTATGGCGCTAAGGACTACTATTTTTGTTGGAGGATTTATATTCACTTGTAGTTCAGCGAATGCAGGTGGTATTTCTGGACGAAGTGCAGGTGGTGTTTGTAGTTGATACAAGAGCTTCTTGAAGTGGTCTGCCTATCGTTTCCTTTGTCTCTCTTCTTTGCTAATTAAACTTCCTCCATCATCTTTTATTGCTTTCATTTGTGTTGATCTCTTCCCTAACAGATAGTCACCTGGTTATTTGATACAATGTTGTCAGGTCTCTCTCTCCTACATGCAGCCTGTTCTGCTTCACTTCCCAGTGTGTCGTGGAATTGTCTTTTGTCTTTGCGTGCACTCTTCTTCACTTCTTTGTCCAGTGTAGTGTTTTATACATTGTGCTCAGTTCCTCTTCTCGTTGTGCATCCTTGCACTGGTTTATCTTCCACTTCACCATCCTCCTCTCCCTGCTCTATCAGCTTCCAGGTATCCGTCGAGATCCATTCCTTGTCTTCTTTCTTCTTCCTTCCTAATAGGGCTGTGCAGGTTTCTTTCCACACAGCTTTCAAAGAGTTCCAGTCTTCATCCACACATGTTTCTTCAGGGATCTTGCCCGATATCTCCCATTTTGTCTTGATGGCTGGCTGATGTGAAAATTTTCTTTGTAGTTTCGTCCTTCAGTTTCCGGGTGTTGGACTTCAACTGTGCTCTGTCACCAACTTCTTTCAAGGCTTTCAATTGGATTTTGAAGGTCCCATGCACTAGATAATGGTCTGAACCTACATCTGCTCCCCTTCTTCACCTTGTATCAAGTAGGCTGACTGCGTCTCCATTTTCTTGAGATTGAGATAAAGTCGATTTGGTTTTTAGTGTGTCCATCTGGTGAAATCGAATCCATGTCGCTGCCCTGTGAATATCCTTGTGTTTGAACACACTGCCTAGCCTCCAATCACCAAATCGTTGAGTTGAATGCGCAGAATTCTGCAAACAGTTCTCCATTCTCATTCATCACCTCACCGAGTGCTTCTCTACTCATGATGAGTTCTCTTCCTGTGTTGTCCACTTCCAGTTTGGCATTCATGTCACCCCGCCCATTAGAATTTTGATATCGCCAACTGACGTCTTGTCCAGTGTTGATTGCAGTTGTCTGTAGAATTCCTCCTCCTTCTCTTGCTCTGCATTATTTGTAGGTGCACAGTGTAGCATTGTATGATTGTGACCTTCGTCCTTTTGAGTTGAATCTTGCTGTCGTTATCCTGCAGGAGGAGATTGGTTCCCACTGCATGAGAGCCTTCGATACTCTTGGTGAGTGACATCATGATAGCCACTCAACAACTCAGTGTGCTCGTGGTTGTCTTCTGGGTGACAATGTCGGAGTGAATTATTGATTCTCTAGTTGACAGTTTGGAGAGTCCATTTCCATTTCATCTGCTGATTCCTAGCACTTCAATGCAATACCTTCTCATCTCGTTTGCAATCTGGGCAGCCTTGCTAGGTTCATACATGGTGCGGACATTCCATGTCCCCACGTTTACCTTTGCTTTCATGGAGAGAAGAGAAGAGAAGAGAAGACACATCGGCCAATTGGCTTCCCGAAGACAGGCTTTCACCAACCGGCGTCATTTCGCCTCTCCGATTCCAGCGAGGAATAATTTTGTTTTCATTTTTTTGTACTTTGTACTTTTGTGCTTTGAAGTTTCTTTAGTGGTTGGATTGGTTTTACAGCGGTAGGGTTGCTAGCCCTATGCCCTACCTTCCCTCTTTACCCGGGCTTAGGACCGGCTAGTAACTAGTGAACTAGTCAATCAGGCGAGGTTAAAGTGGTTGGTGGAGGTAATAATTACTTCCTCTAAAAATGTTGCACGGAAAGTGAATTTGATGAAATATTTCATGCTGAAAATTCCATTCTATACACGCTGTTTGGAATAATATTAATGTTTAAATCAAGTCCTGATAATCATTCTGTTGTTTGGTTAGAAAAGCTCGAGAACTAACTTACGAAAACTATTATCAAACATCTTGATGTAGTAAGTTGAATTTCATTGTTCTTTCAATTTCAAGCATCAAAGAAGTTGATAATCAGTTTGGTTGACTGGAAAATTCAGAAAGACCTTTATTGTAGATCACTTTTTCTTGTGGTTAAATTTCCTTAATATGGGTAATATTCCTCTGATATATGTCTGTATTAGTGAATAGATAAAACTGAAAATCGACAAGTAATGAATTATACTGTTACTTTAACACAGAGAATATTTGATACTATTTTTGACATTTAAAATTGCAAGCGTTTCATTTTAGAAATATGGATCACAATGAACTGATTTCACTTCCAATGGATGCATTTACGAATTACAAAAATTTAAGAAAAGTGTAGGTTGAAATTTGTTTATTTGCATGTATTGTTATTATTTTTAACCATCAAGTTAATATTTCAATCTGCTTTTAGTTAGTTACCTGGAATTAGCTCATATACGCCTTCAATAAATTTTATTTCTCGTTAGGCGACTTGAAATTCTGCTGGTGGACATCAATTACAAATACTCTTAACTTTGTTTCTGCTTCCGAATCGCCTGAGATATATAACGTCTTGGCTTCCTTGTTTTGAAAACTTCTTACTAAAATGATTTATTAGCGAATAGTGTGGAATATCAAATCTCACATAAAAGTGTATTTTCTGGTTAGATCAATTCTGTATATTCAGTGACTGTTTTCTACAAAATGTTTTAGATAGAGAATCCCAGCAGAAATCTTGAAATGGCTTTAAATTGTACAGAAAGACTTATGAAAACAGAACTGAAAGTGGTGAATACGGGGTTTGTGGTCAAGTTAAGCACGAGGACTCCATGTAATCACGAAGTGAAATTAATGATGGATAGTGACTACCAGTGGAATCCCAGACGCCTGATTCGTCCCATTTAAGACTCGTCGGCTGGACGTGATTGTCTCCTAGTGAGCAGTGTTGCTCCCACTAGGACTGGAACTCGGGATTGGTCCCTAAAATGTCACAGAGTTATTCACCAGACCACGGAGCTGCTATTGCCAACTCTTGTGAGAAAGGCATAGTTTTAATGTTGTTGCTTGTATTATCCCGTAGTTAAGTGGACCAAACTAATCGGTCTCTGTTGGCATATGGACTCTTGCGCAGATTTGTCGATACTGCCTGTGTTTGAATTATATATGAATGATAAATAGTGGCTAGCAGTGGAGTCTTAGATGGGCTTTTCATCTTATTTGGGACACAACAATAAGAAGTGAAATTGTTTAAAATAAACAATCAGAAAATGAGCATCTATCAAAAGATGTACTATCTCAGTGTTAAACATTTGATGCATCACTAATTTTGATGCTTACTGAACGGTATTAAAAGACAGTGACAAAAAAGGACTTGTTGCAGTAAACGATGCGTGTCTGCAAAGTGCAGTTCACGAAACTAAACATCACAATATTTAAGAACATGAGAAACTTGATTTCATGAATACATGACAAAAAAACTCATATCTTTAGGAGTAACTCATTCAATTGTTTTTCTCAGCAAAAGATCTTTTATAATGCATACGGAAATGACGCAACACCTGTGACAGATATATGAAAAATTTTACTGCCAATACAAACAAAGAATAAGGAGTGACAGGACTATAAAAATACAGATGTCGAAGGTAGTGTAACTACACTGATATGATTATGAGCAAATAATATATGCTGTAAACGTCATCAAGTAAGTAATACTGTATCACTGTGTTATAAATCAAATAGGTAAATCTAATATGGAGTTAAATTCAACCACAGTGCCCAAGTTTTACACACACATATAAAGGAGTATTTTTAGACAATGTTTGGACACAACTGGTGAGCTTATGAGATCAGCAGTTTGCCTGTTTAAATTTGAGTGACGACAGTGCGTAGATCACCCACAAGAACCTAGTGGATTCTCAGTTCAACTAATATTCTGTTAGAATCATTGAACAATAAATAGTGCTGACCGTTTATGCTGACTCTCTTGCACCTCAGCCCAAAAGAAAACGAGATTTTGACAAACAAATGTTAGCATCTAAATATACATCTTTCCTGATTTAACTATCACTGTGTTTATCTCTCCACATCCGACTGTTAATGTAATTTACCTTGGAGTTTAGATTATCTAACTTGTAAAGCAAGTTTTTACAAAACGTGACGGTATTTAAACGGAACGAATACAAACAATGAGTCTGTTTTATTTGAAAACCATCAGTTTGATGTATTTCCGACTGAGAATCGAACCCAAAATAGGTAGATTTTGTAGTGATTTTATTCTTTTGGGCATCTGAGGTGTGATAATTCTCCATTTGACCGAAAGTTGTCAATTTTTAACAAGATAGCTTATCACTCGACACTATTGACCATAAAAATTCGAAAAAGCTTTATCAGCAAAACCTTTCTTTGTTCTTTCATGTTTAAAAACCTTAGATTGGCGGCCTGTTTAAATCTTGGGCTACCAAAAAACCTTTCACCGATTATATTTCATCTTCCCCTTCAGTTTCTTTCAATCTTTTAAGTGTCTTCAGGATGCATCATATACTCTCACATGCTTTTGAAATGTTTTCATACTTCCATCTCTCAGCTTAGAATAGCACAAAGAAAAAACGTTCCACCAGTTCGAAATAGGTTTGTAAGTGCTCAAAAATACGCCACATTACCATTCCTAGGGTACCTGTGTGGGATTGTGAATTTCTGTGCTGACTGATTGAATTGTCACCATTGATATTACACTCGATTTTGAACTAATTTACAAATAGAGAACAGATGTTAATGTAACACTAGATGCCCGTTTCACACTTACTCTTATTATCCTAACACTACGCAGACCAGTTTTTGTTTGAAAGGAATTTAAGGGAATAGTTGCAACTGTAACGACTTGCTGAAATAATTTCATACTTTGCTGCTTATAATGGTATAAGGAAAAATATGCGTTTATAGATATTAGGAATGAAAGTTCGGAGTTCATTTACATAATTATACCTTTCTTTTCTTCTGAGTGTCTGTTTAACTGGTGATGCTCTCTGTTGCAACCACTTTTGGCAACATGAATAACTTTTTTCATTCTTTACTCTGAAATTTGATGCTTTCACCTTTAGACAGCCAAATAAAATCTCGAAATATACTTATATCAGTATAAAATTGTTCTTTATTTATGAATAACAACTTACATGTATTGTATGTGTGTACACAATTTTTATTACCTTTAAATCGTATATCTCAAGTTAATAAACGTTTTAACTGATCCATTGTTAAGGATTTTAATTGGGCAATATCATTTCAATATCCTTAGGTCATGATTATAACTAGTCTACTTGCTCCGTCTACAATTTAAACATAATAAATATCAGTTTAGCTTTTGGTTCATTTCAACAGTCTTTCTTTATTTTCCTTTATCGTATAATAGTGTTTTAGACAACAATCAAATCTCGTATATTCATCCTCAAGCTTTCAGCAATCTACAAGAACTTTCCATTTTGTAAGTTTTTATAATTGTGATACTTTAGCATATATGTATTTACATATAAATGTATTTTTGTGCAATTTTTCTTATTTATTGGAGAACCTGATGTGTTTAACAACAAACTAAACGTTAATCTGAAAGGAACTTATAGATCATTTTCTTTCTCAACTGGTTAAAAATCTCTCCTGACACTTCTTTCCTAAAAGTAGAGATTGAGAAGAAAGCTTTTTTGAAATAAAAACAAAATCAACTGTAAAATAATTTCTTCAACTTTAAAGAAATGGTTACTAAAATCCCTGTTTATAAGATACTTGGATACAACTTGATCAGACGAAAATTATCAGATCACAACAACTTTTTCTAATCAAAAGACCTACAGCATCTTATGGTGATCTCGTAGAAATAGGAAAAAATAATCACAAATGATAGGTAATCGAACGCTCTGCTAATCTCTAGGTTTCCGGAGTTGCGGACCAGTTTTCATGAAGGTATAACTAATTTTAATTGTCTGCACCAAGACAGTGCAGTTTAAAATATCTGTGGGTTGTTTAAGAAGCAACAACAACTTTTATGCTACTTACTCAGTAAAGCTACAGAGCTTGCTGACACTCTTTTCTAAACTTATAAATGTATGAATTTTCTGATGTATGGAAACTTATCAGAAGTACTAATTTTTGTTCGAAATGGTTAAGTGTGAGAGGAAATTATTGTTACTACAGAATCTGAACTATAGACAGACTCCCTGACAGACTTACAACTCATCAACTGATTTTGAAAAATATGTGCCCATTAAGCACCAATTTTATCCCAACTCTCCACTTTGTCAACCAAAAGTTTTTTATTTAGGAATATATTAACACCAACAACAGTAAGCCAATTTGTATCGGTTTCAAAAGTGTGAAAATGGATTTGTCTGAGGCATAGCTTATTTATCATTTCAAAAATATACCCATCGTAAATCATTTAAAAGTTAGCAGGATTTTCAAGCTTTTTAAGTAGTTAGTTTATTTTATTTATGAGCTGACGTTCTCGTAGAAGTTACTGTTTAGTCTGAAGTCTCATCTGCACAATTACAAAAGAGACAAACTTCTCCAGGTGTACAATTCATTTTCAGCTACTGCAACTACTATCCATGATCCATTTCAAGAAATGTACTCCACTTCCAAACCTACCATGTTCATCATCGTCTACATAGACGTGATGCTACAGTGCAACGTTCATGGGCTAAAGACGACTTGAACAACTTTTGAGTGTATTTTCTAAACTTCAACAGAACATCAGGCAGTAATTTGTCTTATTGAAGTTAATAAAGTGAACTAGCTGTTTTACATTTCGCAAACGGAAATAGAGGCCAATTCCCTGAGTGTGCAGCAATAACTTCCCAATTAAAGAGACTCAGTCCAGCATCAGTCACTTCTCTATTGTAATACTCAAAGTCAAAGTCTGGTATTAATATTTTAATAAATTTAACTGATGGTATGCAACACCATTATTTTAATATTTTTTATTAGGGCTCTAAAACTGCTATTCTTTCATATAGGGTGGTACATTACCTAATATAATTGCTCTAAGTTCTTGTGATTATTTCAGGTGCTTTCAAAAGTAAAATGGCTGCGGAAAATACTGATTCATGCTGTTCTGCTACCGAAGACCAAAAAGTCTTTTTTAATAAAAATAACATTGCCGGAAAAACACATTTTGTTGGTTCTGAACCAAATCCAGTTCGTAAAATTTAGATCCAACAAGAAATTTCACCTCAAAACCACCAATTAAATAACTTCCAGTTTAGACTTAGAGTTAAATGAAAACTGTTTTTGAACGAGAATGATAAGTTGAGAAATGTGTATATATGTAGAATTCATTTTGTTGGCAGACCCCATCGGTGACATTTTCATAAACCATTAGGATCTACTACCGTTTCATAAATGGACTATCAAATAGCCAAGTATTAAATGTGTATCAAGTGATTTGGACATTTTGTGTGCCTAATTTATAGTAACTAACGTTACAAAGACAACGCCTATTTGATAGCCTGAAAAATAAATAAAAGAAGTGACTAATAGCCCTTAGATTACTAGTCCATTTGATCTGGTTGGCAAAACGTTGTTATTCATTACATTTCAAGCATTTAGTTTATGTTTATTTTTATCATGAACGAGAAGAAAACTAATTCTGTTACATGTAGCAGATATCTTTTAAATGCTCTTTTTTGAGATAGTTTCCTTCTTTGCACAGAAGTAAATACAACCAACTCCAATATTCCTGTGTCCGAATTTAACAAATGTCATATTTTAGCAAGCGACTTTAAAGGTTACCCCAACAACATGTGAAATAACCAACCAAACGTCTGCACTTTATGAAAATCTGTCTTTCCGGCCAAAATAAGGAAACCTGACTGGTTATTTCTATCGTTACCAGAGTGGCCTTTAAAGTCGCCCTATTTTGGTGAATATACAATTCATATACAATTCAAAATATTTTTTATTTATTTTTATTTAAAAACGATAAAATACATTTCACGGATTTTAGAACCAGGCTTAGTATGAAGTGAACGAATATTTTATCTCTCATGATTACTGAACAATTAATTACAGTAACACATACAATGTTAAGAATTCTGTCAAAGCTAATGCATATGTGGAATCTGAAGCGTTATTCTTTAAACTTAATTTTATATAAAATTCTAAATCACAAGATACTTATCGGTGAATTTCATAAGTATATTTGACTGAAAACACACCACTTCTGCATTAAGTTACATGGTATCAGTGAACTGATTGTCTCTCTTCGAAAAGCATTTGTAAAGTTAATTTCAACGACAGATGTATTGAAATAAGCATGCATTCTGTGCAAAGATGAACATATGAAGCTTTTATTATAGAATTTTCAGTGCTATTTAAATACACCTAACGAGATATGCACCTCAGCTATATATTCTTTAGATTGTTACATAATAATTTCATAGAAAAAAAGTGAAACCAACTTATTAGGCTTCTACACAGAACAAGGAAATCAATGAACTTAGAAAAAATTGAACAAATAATAACGCTATTAGAACGCAACCTTCATAAATTAAATATTCCGCCATCAACTTGCATAACTGAGTTCATCCAACTAAGGATTCTTTGACTTTTAGATATTTCTCTTAGGTGATAAGTATTTCGTCAAATGGTGTGGAAACGTGTATGGCATTTCGATTGCTGCTAAAATCTGCGTCAGTATAATTACTCCACTTTCTATGTCTACAATACATGTCAATAATATAAATAATAATAAAGGTAAGATGAATTCTAGAAAGCCATTTCAGTTAGCGACACATGACAACTTGAAGATTACAATATTTCTTAAGCTAAAGCTTGAAACAAAGCATCGTGCGGTTTAGGATTCAAGGACATACGTAGTGGCAGCAGTTTTCAGTGTAAGTTGGCCTTCGTCTGTCGAAGAATATCATTTAACCACCTGTCTGATAGAAAGAGCACTGAACGATATTATGTTGGGGATTGAGCTCTTGGATAGGTATGATGTGAGTCCTAAATATGCAAGTTTAACAGTTTTTGATTCTTATCAACATGAGACATATATGATCTTGAGTTGAACGAAAAATCTTCTGATGTAAGTCAAACCAATTAGCCAAGATAATATAAAAGTTTTAAATATTTTATCAACTATCTATAATACTAATTTATACTACAAGTGTTTGGTTAGTTTTGAATGAAACTCCCTTTTGTCATATGAACATGATTTTTGGGTTAGATGTAATGATAGGGGACCGCTTGAACTCAAGTAACTTTAGAACGTATTGAAAATTTAACTAAGATCCACATTCTTATCAGATTATTACAGACTAAGCCAAATAACAATAAGTAATACTACAAAAGAAAGAGATACTTTTGTAAGCCTCAGTTTTCCTTGAATGGATTTATGCATGCAGTGTTACATTATGTTAACATTGACTAATCATTGGAAAGAGACCAACTTCATGTTGTCTAGTCCTAGGTGCTGATCGAATTTTATTGATCGTTTTGTAATGTAGCCCCAGACTAGGCAGCCATGCGTCGCGATGCATTCTGATAGATTTTGATTGGATGTAAGCAATCGACAGGAAGCCTGGATTTAAGTTTCATGCTTGCTGGCACTCATTAACAAGGCGTATCTGCAACCTTGACGGCACTGATATCTAGCCCGTGATTCAAACACACGTCACTCAGTGTTTCAGTAAGTGACGTTTCTAGTGACGCTGACTACAACACTGGGTGGCACGGGTCGAACCTCAGGTGGGACATCAGTTGCGTCGAGGTTGCAGATGCACCTTGCTGACGAGTCCCTGCAAGCATGAAACATAAATCCAGGGCTTCATACTGATTGCCTCCATCCAACTAACGCATTTTTCATGCATTACTTCACTGCATAAGATAATCCCATTCAATATTTTTGTTCACTGGCCAGTTACTTCTAGAAATAACTTTCTTATATTGGACTTTGATAATTGAATTTATGTATGCCATTTATGAAATGCTTAGAAATATGTAAAATTCAGCAGTTAGACTGAATTATTGATATAATGTTGACTTTACCATCTGTGTGGTGCTAACTTTAAATTCGTTCTATGAACATGCAATATCAAAACAATGGATTGTGATTTTGGGTTAAAGTCTGCTAGATATATTCAACAATTTGACTGAAATATCTTGGTTAGCAGCCAAAATGATAGTACAAAATAAGCGGTATCTGGCGTTTATTGGTACATAGATATCGGGAGGAGACACATCGGCCAATTGACTTCCCCAAGGTTTTCACCAACCGGCGTCACTTCGCCTCTCCGATTCCAACAAGGAATAATTTTTTTCCATTTCTTACAATTTTTCTGTATTTTAAAGTCTTTTTAACGGTTAGATTGGTTTCCCGCGGTAGGATTGACAGCTCTTTACCCAACTTTCCCTCTTTATCTGGGGTTAGGACCGGCTAGTAACTAGTAAACTAGTTATCTAGGCGAGGTTGCACTAGGTATAAGAGATATAATAATTTTGCTTTTCGCAAGGTGAAAGAATAACCATGTCTCATTCTAAGGCTGTGGCAGTTATTTGTCAGACACATTGATCACCAAGGTAAAAGTCTAGATAGGAAATATTAAGTTCCCGGCAGTCAAGAGGTTACTGAATCTTTGAAATAGATACTTTCAGTTCTCATCAACTTATTTTTCCAATATCATATCATTCATTTCAGTGTATTTGGCGAACACTCATTCGATGTTCAGAAAAAGTCAACCACACATGTTGAAAATGCTGACTTTTATGAATATTTATCTTTCATATATTTTGGCACTTAGTGGAGAATTACAGATGTCTGTATGGTCTTTAAGAGATCATGACAGAACACTATCCAGTCAGTTAACGCATCCAACACGCCTTATTGAATGAATAATCTAAGGATAACCACAGAAAGTTTCTCCACTTTTCCTTTGGCGTATATTAACTTTATCTGATCACATCACTATAAACGAATGCAGTGTTTAAAATCTTATTCCACCTTTTGTGTGATATGAATTATAAATAAGTCAGACAATAAAATGGTAGAAATTTCATATAGTCGCTTTATAACTGGCTTAACCAAAGTAACTAACAATCATCATTTTTAACACTGAACTCATTCAGTCTCTTTCTGTAAACATGTATTTGCGATGCGCGTAAAGAGATTGAAAATATTCTCCTGTCTATATTAAAGAAACAGTCACTGAAAAAAAGGATAAACGAATGAAGACATTTTAAAATTAAAACAATGGCTAAACATCCTAGATGATACGCTTTTAATTTGCGGAAGTACGAAAATGGCGCCATTCAATATATTCATGTTATTTTTTTTTTAAATTATCAACAAACAGATGTATTTCGCTAACATTCTGAACGATACTTCACAAAAACATACATTGGATAAATTTTTGTATAGAGATGCATAAGTAAGAGTTGAACATTCGTTGTATCTCGCAGTCACATGTCTTACCCATCATTAAGTGAAAATTACTGTTTGAATCTCATTTTTATTTTCATTTCGTTTATGCAAACAATATTAGTTAAGTAAGGTCGCAAATATTCTTGAAGTCTAATGTTTCCCTTGGTTTCTGTACGACAAACATATTTGAGTCCACAGTGAAACACTTGTTGTTAGCTACCTCTGAGTAATCACCTGTACATTATCACAGTGTTCTTCACTAACTATAACTCTTCTACAACATTATACTTCAGTAAAACCCAAGTGTCTAATAAATCAGAACAAGACACTTCTGAACATTTCGTTGTGTAAACCATAACTCCTTCAGCAGAATATACGGATTTTAGTTCTGCTGAATATGCTGTGGCGCCCACATAGCGAAAGCGTTCAGAAATATCTTGTTTAGATTTCCTAAACACTCTGGGATTATATTCAAACATACTCTCATATTAGTTAAGTCGGATTCAGTGCTCAAATTCTCCCAGGACTTTCGTGACAACTATAGTCTGGACGTTAACAATCTTGCAACTCTTCTATTTCAATCATTGAAACTTACGCTAGCAAATCATCTCGTTACCTGAAGTTTACAAGACAAAGATTACTAGACAAAACTAATAGTCACATTTTTTAAAAGGAGTTACGGAGTTCCTTTTAGACATCTCACAGGTAGCGGCAGTAACCTGATGATTTATCTTTATTCCTGTACAAAATAAAAACCATTTATTCGAAAAAAAACCGATCTTCATCAAATTTTCTTTTCCATTCATCATCTACAGATATATGAGTTCAAATGAAATGGGTTTACTGCCATCAAATATATTCTCTAAACTTTCAAATCTAAAAATACTGTAAGTTAATGAGTTTCATTTTTTAAGATTAAAGTTTTATTCCAAGAAATCTGACTATAGTGTTACCAGCTAACTTAACTTCTTTTCAGTTTTGGTTTTCACTAATTTACGGTGTTAAAGATTGTGACTACAAAAAGTTAATTGTGAAATGATGATGAACAGTCAAAAGTAAAGGTGCAGCATCGAGTTAGCTTATGCTGAAAACGTGAGGTTTCTAGCAATCTACCCCATAACAACCTTCTAAACTACTTTTACCAGTAAAACAATATGGTTATATTTATCGCTTATGAAATAAGTCATTTTCTACGTCAAACAATTGATTCTTTCAATGGATCCATATAAAAAGAAAGCAGAATGAGTTTATATCATGCAATGGGCCCACCATATTCAAATGTATTGTGCGTGATCCATTATAATATGTTCAAAGGACAAAAAACGCCTTTACCGCAATAATTTTCCTGCACAATACCTCGATAATCTGTACACTTTAATTGGGTACTTTCATTTAACTTTCAACTTCATTAAAAACTTGCAATTCATTATGGTAACTTGTAATTGGGCCTAACAGCAATCATTCTATCCCAAAAATGTGCAGAGTAATGTGAACCATTGTGTTTTCTTTGAAACTAATGCAACTCACCTAAGTCAAATAGATGAAACGTGAAAATAATATTGTAGTCTACTTGGCGGTTAGCACTAGAACCCGAGACACACGTTTCATCCTATTTAATACTCGTCAGTTGGATGCATCAGCACTCCAGTGGGTGACAGCATTCCTACTGAGACTTGAGCCAAGCACCTATCGCTTCAAACGCCGGAGATATATCCACTAAAACACTGAGGCACAAGAGCCATCTCTTGTGAAAAGTGGACCAAATTGTGTTTATTTCCATCACTGACTGGGGTGTGGGTACATCAAGCTGAAGGGTCCTGGATCCTGCTTCTGGCCAATTAGTAGACTATAATATGGTGAATATTCTGGCAGTACCGAAGCATCCTCATTGGAGCTCATATATGATTGGATCCAATTTAGCAACGGTAAATTATTAGTTATCGAAAAGCATTACCACCTATACTTTTGCTTGTTGAATGGCTTGCTGTAGAAGTATTTTTAGCTCATGTAAAAAGACACCCAAGGTAGACCTAACCCCCGAAAACAAATGTTAAAAGCAGGTCAGTAAATTTATTGCTTGTCAACACTTACTGATATATATTTGCTTGTGTTGGAGCTGAGACGGTAAGCCATTTTATATTAGCAGCATGCTGTTTGGAATCTTGACTTATAGTTGGTATATCAATGATTTTGACTCAAGAAGGTGGAAACAAATTTGTTTTGAAGATAAAAATATAAGATATCTCGTTAAAACTTTCTAAAGGCGCTTTGATTATTGTGGAATAAAACAACTGATTCATTTCACTGACCACCTAGGATAGCCGTCATTTTAAAGACTTGTACTGATATTGGGTCATGAGTGAAGGTGAAATGAAAATTTAGACTGCGGCAAGACTTGAATCAGTGACCACCGGGTTTTCGACCTGTTGCTCTATCAAGTGAGCTACAAGGTCCAACTACTGACCAAATTCGTATTTCACTTCAATCACCAAGGGTTTCGTTCGACTACCATGTGAGTTCGTGATGCGCTACTATCGTCTGATTGCACTCACACTGGCTGCCTAATCAGGACTTCACATCCCAATCCAAATGTAACTGAATTAGACAGAGGGAGCATCGTATTGGTTATCATTTTGACTATCTAAGATAATTTTAGCAATGCGTTATGAATTCACATGACAGTCGAGCAAAACTCTAGGTGACTAGATTGAAATAAATATTTAGTCAGCAATGAGGCTTTGTAGTTTAGTTGGTAAATCACTGGACCGGAAACCCTTTGATCGCGGGTTCGAATCCGGTTGCCATCCAAATTTCTATTTTGTCTTCAACTATCACCCAGTATCAATAATTGATATCTTAGCCCCTGAAAATGTAATTATTTTAGTGCCAATATTTTGCGCGTAATTTAAAGCATATCTTCTAGATGTCAACTACAAGATTTTCAAATCTCCTTTTTGAATTTTTATTAGTGTAGTTATAATACATGAAGACAAACCAAGCTTATCACCAGCCTGTTTTGTTTCTGTCCACGGAAATTTTCTCCCTCACACTCAAAATCGTTAAAATCCTTGAGTTTTTGTTGTAAAGGTAACGGGAATATAAGTAATTACAAATAAGTCAGTTTGAAATTATTTCAAAATACTGACAGCCACTTATTGTCCTGAGAGTGAAAACCTTGTAAATATTCGTTACCTTCAGACCATTTCCATATGTTCTTTTAACTTGAAACTACTTCAAGAAATATCTCTGATTAATGTCACATGAAAACGATTACCAGATGCATTAGTCTTTAGGTTTTCATGAATTCAAAAGATACTCAAACAAAAATAGAAGTCTAATTAATAACCGCTTACATAAATCATGTATCTGATTTGTTGCAAAAGAGATATCAACGCTTAAAACACAAATTATCTTAGTAATTTTCTTGTGGTAAAAGTGATGGTTAGGACTTGTCATGATACTTTGTATGAATCTTAGGTTAAGGATGTGATATAGGGAACATTAAAATAACTTCAGACTTCAGGTGAATAATTCTGTATTGAGATGCAACATAAAGTAATGAAATGAAGTCAGATTACATTAATCTGAAATATTTCACTTTATCTACATTAATCTCATATAAAAACCTACAGGTAAGAGATGCACACGTTATCCTTTTAATCTGGACGTCAACAAAATAAATAAGGTTGAAGTTTACAATTGATTTTTTGTCAAAAATCACTACCATTGTAACGATAATCGAAAAACAATTAAATTTACGAGAATTGTACATATTGTACTTTGTCACTGTTGACAAATATATTTATATTCAGTTAACTAGGAAGATATTCCACTGATAAATTATATAAAAAACTAGAGAAAATCTTAACTACATATGACAAATATAATATGGTTACCAATGAAAGTAACAGCTGACCACAAAATTCATATTTAATCGGTAAATAATTTTGATATATTTATTCACATACAAAAATGATCAAAAAAACTAAGGATAGATATTTTTTTTAAACTGTTGCCTTACATATCGGTGTACCAATGAATAAGATTATCATTTTCAGGTCGATTAGTTTTCAATATATAACACCAAAATCTTAGTGTACCATAATCTATTGACTTTTCTATAGAGTACTGAGTATAAGTTATCTTATCTATTTCATATGCAGCCAGAGAAGACATTCGTAATATCAGTAACGGCTTATGTAATAGAAATCAAGCGAGTCTGTGTAATTCTTTTTTGTTAGTTCACACCTAGATATCGTAGATATTAGGCTGGAATCCAAGTGATTAGCAAATAAAGGGCAACAAACACATCTAAGGTAGACTTAGTTTCGAAACTATGAGTTTTCCTAAAAAGGAAGATATTATTTCTCAATTTGAATGCTGAAGTGTTTTGCTTTGACTATAACAAAGAGTACTTTGATAAATCATAAAAGACGCAAACCATTTCAGTTTTGTTTCCCAACTATGTAGCAGTGTATATTTACAAACACCCTCTCGCTCAAAAATTGCAACAAGAAGTTCACCCTTTTATTTCAAATTATTTCTGTGATTTTGTTCATTTAGAATTAACTGAATGACCTCTGAAAATCACCAAAAAGTGATAGAGCTTAAGTATTTTCGTGACGGTTAGATTTGATTAGTATAACAGTAGTGGTAGTGGCAATAATTATAATAGATTTTCATTATATATTTGTGGAACTTATCTTTCTGATGTAATATTCAATGAAATTAGAAATGTCATTCACTTTTTCGTTTCAAAATGAGTAATTACTAACGAGATGGCTGTTAAACGCATGATAGAACACTGTCGTAATAAGTGGAATCAGTCAGTAACGCTTAAACCTGAAAAGTTACTAGAAATCATTTACTTGATTAAGTTTCCCCCATATATTTTTTCACATCTATTAAAAGAATTGATAACAGCTATTTCACTGATGAAAATGATGGTTCATGTCAAACGTTCTCTTCAGATGTAACATCAGACTTTTGAACAAATGACCTTATGGTTTCCATACACAAAAGCTTCATCAAATTAACCACTAATTTAACATATTTCTGAGAGAGGTATTTATCGCTTCTCTACCCTACGAGACTTGTGAAGTATGCGAAGCAAGTTAGTATAAGATTTTTTGGTACAGAAGCAGATACCATACAGTTTAAAAATTCTAGGAGAATAAAATGTCAAGGATCAGATATTGAAAACAAAGCAGTCGAAAGAGTAAGAGTAGTACTTCGCGTATTTTCATTCTGCTATGAAAACCTCAAGAAAGTAATAATGTCAGCTGGCAAGAGATTGCTTCTCATTCAATGATTTTTGACTTCCTGAAGTATAAGCGCATTCATTCCCCAAACCTTCTGGCATAACTCTACCATGCAATAAAGTTAAACCCTTCATCACTGCAAAATGATTTTTTATCAATATAATAGTATCATAACAAGGTAGAAGAGTCAGTGAAGATTTATATCTGCATGAATGGGCTGTTTATACATGTGGATGTAGCAAGTAATCTGTTCGGGATGTACCAACATCCCAATGAGTAGTGGTGTCTCCACTAGGATACCGGTACTCCCAGCTGATAAGCCTCAAGTAAGTTGAAAAACGCTAGTCACCATCAAAGAAAACCAAGTTGTAATGAATCTTCAAATAAACACCAAAGCATTTGCACACAAGCCTACGTGCTAACAGAGATTGGTTAGTTCGATCTGGAATAAAAAGGAGAAATGGCAAGTATCGGTAAATATCAATTTTGTTTATTCTCTTACCATGTGTTGGTGTGTTTCTGAAATATGAAAGAATTGATGTAGAAAAATTGTAAGCTTAGTGTAGAATAAAGCAATTTACTCTACAATCACTATAGTGGTATGTACACTAACCACTGCAAGTTAGCCAATGCACTCATGTTTAATGGTGAGGTTGAAACGTGAAATGTTTCTCATGTCACTTTTAACAAAGGTTTTATCTGATAGGAAAGTTATTTCTAGACGGAAGTCTAAGATTTTGTCATAGAGGTGTTATTCAGTCCATAATAACTTGTTGTGCCAACTAACTGATAGGAAACGAAAGTTTATCAGTCCTCCTTATATTACTTACATGAAGGAATCCTCAACACTTTACGTCAAACATCAGTAAAATAAAAAACTGACTCCATTTAGATTCAATGAGTCCATGATTTCGTAATATAATTTGAAGAGCTGTTTAAGTAACTTTTTTTAATTGTTGAGTGCACTCTATGAATTGATACTTTGATTTACTAAATTTTTTAGATATTTACATCGAAATAAAATTTCCTGCATACAGAGAGGATCTTTTGCAGGTTTAGAACACCTACAAATCTTGTAAGTTAATATGACTACTAATTCAGATATGATACCTTATGTGAAATGCATTTCAGCCTTTTGATTTGTGATTTTCACTTGTTAGTGTGTAATAAAATGAAGTGAATTCATCACTGGCTTGATCAATGATAAAGCAGATGAAATTATATTGATACTAGATGGTGATTGAAGGTGAAGTAAAAATCTGGAGGTCACAACCAAATTCAAATCACCAGCTTTGAGTTTAACAACTAGGTACCCTAACACCTGAGCTATGAGACTCAAACGCTGATCACAAACCAACTTTGATCACCACGGGTTTCACCTGTCTGCCATGTGCACTCAACCAACACCACTGACCATTCTTAATATGCACACTAGCTGAATAGCCAAGTATTCTTGTCCCAATGGAAATCGAGCTCAATTATAGAAGAGAAGCGAATCATCTATAATCAGTAAGACTATCCTTGATGGCTGTAACTTTATAGACACTTGGTGACGACTGAACGTGAAATAAAAAATATACGTAAACCTATTCAGTAAAACGGTACTGGTTTCCTGTACTTTGCTTACCCTTTACCGAACATTTAGTAGTATCACTGTGAGGTATTTTTATTCCTCAGTTAGGGAAAAGTACTTCTGACTCAATCCCAGTTGTTTTTATGGTGTCTACAGTAAAGCGTAACCCTGTCCGACAAATAAAATGATATTAGATTAGAATTCATCACGGATTTACATCAGTTAGAGGAACAGTAGAAATCTAGGAGAATTGGACAGCTGTTTCGTTTTAGTGTTGGGCTCCTCAGCAGTGCCCATTCATGATCCCACCAGGGATGGGACCCACGACCTTCAGGTTTTGTAGCTAGCACGCTTGTCGGCAGAAGCCAGTGATCCACATTTTCTTACCACTGTCAGTTCACTACATATCTCATCCTATATTCAGTGTCGTCGTTGAGTAGCTGCCCTCATGTTCAACTTGGTTAACTCCACTGGTAGCGACTTCTCACCGAAACCTAGGGAATCACCTCTCAAAGCTATTCACTAATGAGCTGGCCACAGGACCTGAAGGTCATCAGCTAGATCCCTGGTAAGACAGGTTCGTGGGTGCGCACTGTCGAGGAGCTCTAGACTAGGACGAAAAGCTGTCCAGTACTCCTAGGTTTCCAGTGTTATTGCAGCTGATGTCAGTTCATGAATTCCAGCCTAAAATCAATAATAATGCTCTGCAAACCTACAGACAGAAATAAGATGACAGGTCAGATAGATTACGTTGGACGAGGTAATCTTCAATCTGTAGAAAATTGCGAGACGAGCAAGGAGCAAAGAGCACCTCGTTTGTTCACCTAAAAGAGTTCCGACTGCATTTTAAGAGTTGTCAGTTAATCGAATTCGGTATTATTGACGAAGCTTTCGATGAAATTTCGATCTTCACAATGAAAATTCTGAATAATAATAATAATGATCATTTTATTCCAAACAGTTTTTGGTACAATTTGGAATTTTCAGCATGAAATATTGCGACAACAATATACGTATATATATATATATATATACATATATTTGTATATATGTATTTTAATAACGAGAAACTTGTTAATAAAGTTACTGGAAAGAGATTGCTTACATAATCTTAGCAGCAACTATTTATCAGTAAACAAAGTTTCCGATTAAGGGTTAGATTAATTATGAAAATGTGAAAATTCAGGTTAACTCTTCTATTAATATTTTATTATTTATGAAATTTTCCATCATTTTTCTGTTGAATATTTGATTGCAACAAAGTTGTATTATTTCACAAGAATTATTTTCTGTAAATTTTCTCTTTTCCTTCAAAATTTAGACACTTATCAAACAACCGTATACAAACATTCCCAAGAAATAGTTTTGAAGACTTACGTCGATTGAAATATCTGTAAGCTTTCACACAGCATAGTTAGTTATTTCTCTCTGTAACAAAACTATTCTACACTTCTCGCCAATAAAACGTATTTCGTTAAATTACATAGAATACTTAAATTGTTCTTGGTTTTTGTAGAATCTTAAATTAACAACTATTTTTGAAGGAAAGCAAATCATAAACTTTTTTTAGCAAAATGCACTGCCAAAAACTGCCGTCTACCTTGTAACTTTCAAGTTCTATTAAGAGAAAGCTTGTATAATAATGCAATTGTGAACATACCTTACAACTTGAGAAAATTACTTCTTTTCACGGTATCTTTCGGCTTTCATACGTAAACTAATATCACCAGCCGTCTAATGATTCTCACATCTTACTAGAACAACAAAAGGTCAAGACTAAAGATAATTGTGAAATGCTAACCTGAGAAAATAAGAAAAAGGGGATTATTTGTGCAATAACGATATATTCAGGATGTTAAACTAAAATATGTGTACATACACACTACTGCAACTGATTTTAATAGTAAGGCATATATTCCTCAACTAACACAGTCGTTTCATCCCTAGTGTTTACAATATTGTCATCAAGTAAGCAAGGGATCTTACTGACTTTTGGAAGATTATTCAATGGAATTCTTCGTAAAAGAATTGTTTTGATGAATTAGGTGAGACGCACATCATTATATGACCAAGAAGATACGAACTGATACCTTATTTTCAATGATATGAGTTAAATCACTAAGGCAGAGTGTTTACTAGAGAAGTAAGTAAATAGTAGTTCCATATTAGATTTGTTTATTTGATATAAAGCGCACAGTGATACAGTATTATTTACTTGATTACGTTTCGAGCATAAATTATTGCTCATAATCATATCAATGTAATCACACTTCTTTCGACATCTGATTTTATAGTCCTGTCACCTGATCTCTCTTTGTTTTTTTGTTTTTTGATTGGTAGTAAAGTTTTCCATATCTCTGGTATAGGTGTTGCGTCATTCCTATTACATGTGTTGGGTGTGAATTCGATGAACAAAGATTCAGTAATTAATCTCTCTCTCCACCTAGCTATATTAGACTTAAGTACAGTGGTTTTGTCCCATCCTATTGTGTGGTTGTGTGTTAATGAATGTAATGCAATGGCTGAGTGTTTTTCTAGGTTATTGATCTTATTGGGGTCTGTCGTTCTATGTTTAGCTAAATTCCTATGTTCTGTTAATCTAACTGACCCCGACCGGCTAGTTTGACCTATGTATTTGACTTCACAGTCATTACATGGAATTTGGTAGATTATATTATTTTGCTTAATTGGTTCTATCGGATCTTTTAGCCGACAAAGCTTACCTCTAAGTGAGTTTGTTGGTTTAAATGCCACCCTAATTCCAACCTTGTTGAGAATCCTACGTATGGTTTCTGATGTTCCTTCCTTGTATGGTATCACAATAGAGGTGCTGATTTCCTTTCTACTTATGTTGTCACTATTATTTGTATTTGTATTAGTGTTATTATTTTGCTTCTTATGCGTCCGTGTGAATTTCTTAATAAAATGATGGGGATAATTATTAGTTATTAACGCTTCTTTTATGTGTTTCAATTCCTTATTTAAGTCCTTACAATGACTAGTGAGTTTCTCAGCTCTGTTATTTAGACATTTGACTAAACCCGCTTTAACTGACACTGGATGAGATGACTTGAAGTCTAGATACCTGTTAGAATGTGTTGGTTTTCTGTAGACGGTAGTATCTAAACCACCATCTATCCTTCGTTTTATTCTGCAATCCAACATAGGTAATTCTCCTTGTTCATTTTCTACTTCGTAGGTGAATTGGATTGCGTTAACTACTGAGTTTATGTGTGTCAAGAAACTGTCGATATGTTCCGATTTCAACACTGTAAATGTGTCATCTACATATCGCCACCATATCTTAGGTGTCGGATTATATGTTCGTAAAGCCATATCTTCCCAACTATCCATAAATATATCTGCTACTATAGGGGATATTGGTGATCCCATTGCTACTCCTTCTGTTTGTCTGTATATCTTTCCCTGAAACTTGAAGACTGTCGAGGTTAAGCATAACTGCACTCCTAACATGATTTCACCAACCGATGCCTTGGTTCTTTGAGTAAGTTGTGAGTCAGTATCTAGTTGATTTCTGACTGCCTCCAGTGCCATATTGATTGGTATTTTAGTATAAAGACTTGTTACGTCAAAACTAACCATTTTTTCATCCTCTTCTATGTGCAGGTCATTAAGTTTTTGTTTCAACTCGTAAGAATTTACTAGTCTAGAGTTGGAACGGTCTCTAACAGGACGTAATACTGATGCTAAATACTTTGATATCTCATATGTTGGTGTGTTTCGGAAGTCAACTATCGGCCTAATGGGATAACCTGCTTTATGAACCTTAATAGTACCGTAAATTCTGCTAGGATTATTAGTTTTTGGCATTAAAGTAAACCATTCGGACTTACCTAGAGATGGCTTCAGTCGGCGTATCAGATCTGTTGTAGATTTCTTAATTTTATTCATGACAGTATCTAATAATCCTAGCAGAATTTACGGCACTATTAAGGTTCATAAAGCAGGTTATCCCATTAGGCCGATAGTTGACTTCCGAAACACACCAACATATGAGATATCAAAGTATTTAGCATCAGTATTACGTCCTGTTAGAGACCGTTCCAACTCTAGACTAGTAAATTCTTACGAGTTGAAACAAAAACTTAATGACCTGCACATAGAAGAGGATGAAAAAATGGTTAGTTTTGACGTAACAAGTCTTTATACTAAAATACCAATCAATATGGCACTGGAGGCAGTCAGAAATCAACTAGATACTGACTCACAACTTACTCAAAGAACCAAGGCATCGGTTGGTGAAATCATGTTAGGAGTGCAGTTATGCTTAACCTCGACAGTCTTCAAGTTTCAGGGAAAGATATACAGACAAACAGAAGGAGTAGCAATGGGATCACCAATATCCCCTATAGTAGCAGATATATTTATGGATAGTTGGGAAGATATGGCTTTACGAACATATAATCCGACACCTAAGATATGGTGGCGATATGTAGATGACACATTTACAGTGTTGAAATCGGAACATATCGACAGTTTCTTGACACACATAAACTCAGTAGTTAACGCAATCCAATTCACCTACGAAGTAGAAAATGAACAAGGAGAATTACCTATGTTGGATTGCAGAATAAAACGAAGGATAGATGGTGGTTTAGATACTACCGTCTACAGAAAACCAACACATTCTAACAGGTATCTAGACTTCAAGTCATCTCATCCAGTGTCAGTTAAAGCGGGTTTAGTCAAATGTCTAAATAACAGAGCTGAGAAACTCACTAGTCATTGTAAGGACTTAAATAAGGAATTGAAACACATAAAAGAAGCGTTAATAACTAATAATTATCCCCATCATTTTATTAAGAAATTCACACGGACGCATAAGAAGCAAAATAATAACACTAATACAAATACAAATAATAGTGACAACATAAGTAGAAAGGAAATCAGCACCTCTATTGTGATACCATACAAGGAAGGAACATCAGAAACCATACGTAGGATTCTCAACAAGGTTGGAATTAGGGTGGCATTTAAACCAACAAACTCACTTAGAGGTAAGCTTTGTCGGCTAAAAGATCCGATAGAACCAATTAAGCAAAATAATATAATCTACCAAATTCCATGTAATGACTGTGAAGTCAAATACATAGGTCAAACTAGCCGGTCGGGGTCAGTTAGATTAACAGAACATAGGAATTTAGCTAAACATAGAACGACAGACCCCAATAAGATCAATAACCTAGAAAAACACTCAGCCATTGCATTACATTCATTAACACACAACCACACAATAGGATGGGACAAAACCACTGTACTTAAGTCTAATATAGCTAGGTGGAGAGAGAGATTAATTACTGAATCTTTGTTCATCGAATTCACACCCAACACATGTAATAGGAATGACGCAACACCTATACCAGAGATATGGAAAACTTTACTACCAATCAAAAAACAAAAAAACAAAGAGAGATCAGGTGACAGGACTATAAAATCAGATGTCGAAAGAAGTGTGATTACATTGATATGATTATGAGCAATAATTTATGCTCGAAACGTAATCAAGTAAATAATACTGTATCACTGTGCGCTTTATATCAAATAAACAAATCTAATATGGAACTACATTCTACCACAGTGCCCAAGTTTTTCACTTATAAGGAAATAGTATTTAATATTTTTAACGATGTATCAGATTTTTTTCCGAAATACCTGTTTAATCACTTTTTTCATTAAACAGTCTCAACAATTTTTATTCTGAGCAGGTGCTGATGGAAAAAGTGGTTGATCGTTACCACTAATAACAAGGTAAACTTTGTTAGCAAATAGTTAGTCATAGATGTATTTTTATTGTTTTGTTCGCACTGTCCAGTTGATAATTGTTAACCTTTTTATTTAAGACAGATTCATCTTTAATTCATGGTTATACTTCATCATGGCAGATCATTGAAACTGTTGTCAAAATGCAAATCATTTCACTGTGTTCAGATGCTTTAGATAACTTAAACAAACATTTTTCTCGATTGTACTTGAATACGATAAACTTATACAACGTTTACCTTTGTCTCTTTTCCTTGAATAACAAAGTTATTTAGTTCACAACCCACTTATATGCGATTGTCAGATAGCTGCTTGGTTACCAGCTTTTCTAACTGAAAAAGAAGCTGGTGGTACACAGTGGGCTAGATGTGCAGAACCATTAAATGTTCAAGGTAGTCATGTACGCGAATTACTACCGCATATATTACAATGTCCAAGTAAGTTTCTGCTGCAACTTAAATGTACATGATTGGACGTTTTGTCTCTCCTTCTCTCTCTTCATGCAAATAAACATAAATTCACATCTACATATAAGTGGATACCTGGCTGTTGCTATCAGGCT